TTTTGATAAGAGACCAAAGTCTGCCCAGGCAGCTTCGGAAGCTCAAAGCATCCTAAACAACCACAGCAGATGGAGAATTCTACCAAGCTTAATTAACTTCCAGATATGTTCTGATGGGAGGGACCCAGAGCACAAGAAAAAAATTGAGGTTGTCAAGCTCTTCTCCAAAGAATCTCCTTCCCAGAACACTGAATGACAGATTAAGCAAAAGAGGAGAAAGGATTTGGGGCTAACTTTGTGTTGTAGTTCTTTAGCTTGGAGTTCGGGTTTGTTCAGAAGCAAATATTGCTATGTTTCAAGGGGATTATTCACTGGCAAAGTGTCTAAGAAAATCCTGTAAAAGCAGCGTTTTCCCCACACTGAATTAATTGGTTTTGCTACTTAACGGGGAATATCACAATTACGAAGGGGAAAAAAGAGAGAGAAATCAAACTGAAGTCATTCCCCCAAGTATTGTGTGTCCTGGTGAGGTAGGGCTTTGAGTATCCAAGCATTATCTGTTGCCAGAGAGATGTAATGGACTACAATTCTCAGAATTTGCAACCAGCACGGGGTCTCGGTGCTGTTTCAATTCATGTTTCAGAGAGGGAATGTCTGGTCTTGTTTCATGGTTGCCCATGCTTCAAACGTGGAAGGCGCCAAGTGGAGAACATCTGGAGCCTTTCATATTAGATTGTTAAGCCTGGAGACCAAGAGTTCATATTGTCCCTTTGTGTTCAAGAAAAGAAGAAGGTGTTTTGTGACTGTTAAGTAGAAGAAGAGATTCTGACAAGAAGATTGGGCCACACCATTCCTAAATAGGGTGCATCAATATATCAATTTTCCAAAGATATAAACTCAGAGGAAAAAGTGGAAGAGGTGTATAAGAACACACAGACACAAGTATCTCTTGGTGTGGAAAAGATGGATAAATTTTATACAATATAGGTATGATATTAGAAAATATCATTTAGCTTTTGAATAATTTATATTTAAAGTTTAAGATATTATTTAGAAGTGTAGAATAGTTTAGTTTTTCTCTTTTTTTCCCTTTTATTATTTTTTTTATTTTCTTTCTTTTCTTCTTTTTCTCTTTCTGTTTTTTTTTATACATAATAGAGTTAATGTATTTAACAATTTGCTCATTGGATATAATCATATTTGTTTGTGGTTTATTTCAGTTTATAAGCTTTTTCTACTAAGTTTTAGTTAACTCTGTATCTAGCTCTGGGAAGAATGGGGGAGGGTTTGGGGGAGGGTTGGGAGGGATTGGGAAAGGGGTTTTTATTGTAAAATTGTAAAAAAATTATAATAATAAAAAAAGAACACACACACACACACACACCAATAAAGCAGAATATTTGTAGCTCAGGGTTGAAATGAGAGGTCCTTGGTGCTCTCTGAACTCGGTTGTTTTCTTGCAGACGTTTCATTACCTAAACTAAGTAACATCATCAGGGCTCATCAATGGTGGGTAATCAGAAAATCATATTTTTTTTTCCTGAATAATGCTTGAAACCAGAAGACAGCTAGTCTAGGCTCTTTTCTGCTTATTCACTTAGGAATATGGATGTCTCTCCACTTTCTTTTAATTCATCTCTGTTTGGTGGACTTTTTAACAGTGATGGGCCTTATGCTCTAACTGCATGTAATGGACTAGACAAGAAAAGAGCCCAATTGCATTTCTTTCCTGCCATTCAAGCTAATTGTAGGCACGAAGCTTGGATGGTACGTCTTTATTCCAAAGGCAACGGAAGGATGGAGAAAAATAATAACTAGGTTGTGTTAAGGGGGGGAAGATGAACAGGAAAAACTGAGAAGGGAGGTTAAATGGAAACAAGTGCAAAATCAGAAAGCAAATGAAGAGAAGGGGCAAAAGGTCTGAACTGCCTGTCTTCTCTCCAGGAAACATGTTTTGCAGGTCCCGAGAAGCCTAACAGTGTTTATATTTGCTATTAATGATACTCAAGGCATGCTAGAACATGCCATTACAGCGCAGTTTGCTATAATCCCCAGATTTAAAATTCTAATTTTAAAAGGGAGGGAAAGGACAGCAGCAGCAAAGACTCCAGGGTAAAAAAACTGGGTTCCTACACAGGTTGGCAAATAGATATCAGTATTATTTTTTTAAAAAAAAAGATAATTGAAAAATCTGGAAAAAGGCTGAAAAGACCATCACCACGGGGCGTCAAATTGGGATAGGCGTCTTTCTGATACTCTTAAAAACGCACTGCACCTTCAACAGCAACCACAACGGGGTGTAAACTGATGGTAGTAAAGCTAGAGATTTATGGAGATTTTGTCATCTGGGATGTAAGTTGTCTCAAAGGTGCTTTAAAAAAAAAAAAAAAAGCTAGACCGGTTTTTGCAGAAGAAGATGTTTCACTTCTCTTACAAGAAGCTTCATCAGTTGTCACTGGATGATGGGGAGATGGAAGGATAGGTACTGATGGTTGAGATGGAAGGATAGGTACTGACGGTTGAGACCGGATGATGGGGGCATGGAAGGATAGGTTCTTAGAGGATGGGGGGTTGGGGTTGGAAGAATTGCATTTTTTTTTTTTTTGCAGTCATCTGGTCATTAGACAGAGGGGGAAGAATAAGACACCACCACTATCTCCTGTCTACAATGCAGCCGTTTGAGCAGTTCCAAGAAGAGCCGAGGTGGCGCAGCAGCTAGAGTGCAGTACTGCAGGCCACTTTAGCTGACTGTGTTCAGCAGGTCAGCGGTTCAAATCTCACCATACACACACACACACACACACACACACACACACACACTGCTTACTGGTGTATATACACACATACATTGCTTACTGGTGTACACCGCTTAGAGAGTGCTTGCACTTAAAGCAGTATATAAGTCTCATAAATAAATAAATAAATAAATAAGGTGCCACGCCCATCTGCACCCTGATTCTGATGACCCTGAGGGCACAGATAAACCCCCAAATGAGACCTCAAGAGCTCTGAGAGAGAGTGCTAATGACCAGATGACTGCAAAGAAATACAATCCTTCCATTTCCCCCCTCCCCCCCCCAATCCAGTCACAACTGATGAAGCTTCTTGGATGAGAAGTGAAAAATCTTCTTCCTCAAAAAACAGTCCAGTTGCCTTTTGGGGGGGAAAAAAGCACCTCTGAGATAGTAAAAATAGAGGTCTTCAGGCTTTCAACAAACCGACACTGAAAAAAGGTGCAGTGCCAGAACTACACAGGGCTGGAAAACAACCTAAAATCGATATATAAAAATCCATAAAAGAGAATATTTGCAGCTTCGGGGTTGAAATGAGGGGGTCCTGAGCTTATTTTCTTATAGACATTTCATCACCCGAACTAGGTAACATCCCATCAGCACTGAAAACGTCTGCAAGAAAACAGCCAAGCCTCAGAGAGCACCAAGGACCCCACCTCAATATAAATCTGCATGGTGCATCGTTCACAACACAACCGTCCTCCCCATCTTTCAAAAGAAATATTTGCACCTGACATGTTGTTGTTGTTTTTACTTGCTTACCTTGGCCCCAAATGCTGACAGGCCTCTCTTGAAGGATTCACTCTTGATAAAGAACTGTAGCAGAACATTCAATTCCCTTTCCCACCTTCTTCATTTAACGCCATAGAAACCTCCTTAGGAAGGCAGGATTTGCTAAATAAACGAGGGAATCGCTCTGCTCTTTCTGCAAAGACTGCCACAATTGGCAAAGAGGACCTCGACTATTTCCCCATTGTGGGTGAAAATGCCTTTTCGGAGCCTGTTGCCTAGAAATTAACAAGACCTTCCCTTTCTAATTAAAAGGACGTAAAACTGCCTTCAGAATGTGCCAAGGTCCATGCCAAAAGGTAAGGCTGTTTGCAGGAAACAGATGCCTCCTAAGAAGCAAGTGATTAGGCATACAGACATTTTATTTATCTTTATTCATGCTTTGGGTTGGTGAATAGACGTGTTGGGGGGAAAATGGGGGGAATGCTGCTTTTCCTCCCCTTTTTCCCCTCCCATTTTGACAGTTTCTGAATTTTTCCTGAGAAATTAGAAAAATGAAAAAAGCTGTAAATTACTAGGGTGCAGAAGCATCTGCTTTAGAGTTGACAGTATTCCCTCCAAATTAAGAAATAAATGAACATGTGATGTCACAATAAACGGGGAACATTCTGCTTCCAGAAATCCATAAAAATCAAGAAAGGACAAAAATAAGAAATCAGCTGCAATAAAAATCCACTGACAGGATTCAGAACACGACTGATTGAGACACTTGATGAAAGTATCAAAATGGGTGTTCTACATTATTTTCTGTTCTGTTTTTCTGAACCTATATACATTTTATATTTAAAATATGGGCAGAAATGTCCAGAATATACATTTTCCCCCTTACTATCAAGTTGGCAGTCTCTTGTTTTGAAAGATAAATTTCTGTGTGCCAGCTTTAACAAAACAGATCAAAATGAAAAGATGCTATAGTCCTTAGAGTTTGACAGACCTGTTTGCTATAAAAACTAAACAATCTAAAGTAAATTAAATCACTGCCATCTGTCATTATCCTGTGAATAAATGCCATTATTCAATTGCATACACCAAAGACATATTTATGAAGAAATTAAGTGTTCACTCACCTTTCATTAACAATAAAGGCGTAATTGTAATGGATTTTAAACAATAAATATGCTTCCATTTCCCCCCAAATTCTCCTTACTTTTAAAGCAGGGAGGCAGGCAGCAAAAAAACATAATGTTTTTCCCACAGCTTCAAAATTTGCAGAAATGTTATCCTGAGAGGAACATACCTTGAAGCAAGGTAGCAAAACCTGCCGAACTACCTTAGTTGCACAGTGCACAAATGACAGTCACCTGGATGTGCTCATTTTGGTAAATGATCGGGGTTTCCAAGGAGATACACTGAAGTTCCTGCAGACTTCCCTTCCCAGTAGTGTAATTCTACAATCCTTGCCAACAGGCGAGGAAATTTCAAAAGGCGCGCAAATAAACACACCACCACAAGTGACTGGTATCTAGAAGGATTGCTCACCTGCGACAGGGAGGTCCATCTTTGCTCGTTTCAGTTCTGCCATGGAGCTTTGGAGCTGTTCTATTACGAAATCATCCTCGTAGAAAAACTCTTTGGCGAGAGTCTCCTGAAGAAACTGGACCAGTTCTTCCATCTGCAATTTCATCAGGTGTTCTAAGGTGATGCAGGAGGAAAAAATGAGCAGAGGTAGTCCTCAACTTACAACCATTCTTTTAGTGGCCAAAGGGACAAAGGCACTGGAAAAAGTGACTTATGACTGTTTTTCACACTGACGATCCTTGCAGTATCCCCATGGTCATGTAATTCAAATGTGGATGTTTGTGTCATGGTTCCGAAAGATGAAACTCTTCAAAGAACTTTGAGGCATTGTTTACCTTAAAGATTCTTTAATCCAGCTTCCAAAGTACATAGCTGAAGCCAAAATCTGACTTCCCCTCCCTTCAGCACACAGATCAAAGCACAATTCCTCCTAAAACTAACAGTCATAAATCACATTCTCCAATTAGTTTGAAATGCTGGCTTCCCACCCAGTTTCCTCTCCCGGCCATCCTTTATCAGCTCTTGTTAGGATATTGAATGTCTAACTAACTCCCATCCATTCCTCCCCCTCTCCCCAGCATCATGTAACTCTAAGAGTAAAACAACAGAAAGAAAAACATTGTCAAAGCAAGAACATCCAATGTTAGCAATGTTGACAGCTTGGCAACTGGCATGGATTTATGACTGTTGCAATATCCCCAGGTCACGTGATCGCCTTTTGCAACCTTCCGCCAAGCAACGTCAGTGGGGAAGCCAAACATATATAACAAACATGTTGCTAATTTAATGACTGCAATGATTCTTTTAACAACGGTGGCAAGAAAAGTTATAAAATGGGGCAAAAAAACTCACTTAACAATTGTCTTACTTAGCAACAAAAATTTTGGGCTCAATTGTGGTCATAAGTCAAGAACTACCTGTATCAGACAGCGATACTTTATTGGGAGTTTTCAGCCACCATGGAGTCCTTGGTGCTCTCTGAGCTTGGTGGTTTTCTTGCAGATGTCTCATTGCCAACTATGTACACTGATGATGTTACCTAGTTTGGTAATAAAACGTCTACAACAGGGGTCCTCAACCTTGGCAACTTTAAGACTTGTGGACTTCAACTCCCAGAAATTCAGTGGTTCTCAACCTTTTTAATGCCGTGACCCCCAACTGGTCGTAAGTCAAGGACTAAACCGGTCGTAAGTCGAGGACTACCCAACTGGTCGTAAGTCAAGGACTTTCCCTGCCCAGGAGCGCCACGCATGCGTGGTGCCGCCCCCTGCGCTGGCTGAGGCGTAGCTGGCAAGCGGCAGAGACGGAGCAAGCCAACCACCGGCTGGGCCACCAGCTGGCCCAGCCCAAGGGAGGTAAGGCACCTGCCGGAAAAGGGGAAAAAAATAGCAGACAGCCTTGCTTGGCGACCCCCATGAAATGGTCGATCGACCCCAAATGGGGTCGCGACCCATAGGTTGAGAACCGCTGGTCTACAAGAAAGCAACCAAGCTCAGAGAACACCAAGAACTCTTCAGTTCAAGCCTGAGCTACAAACATTGTCTTCTATCACTTTTAAGCCAGGTAGAAATAAGAATCCCCAATTCTAGTCACTTAAAACAAGGACTGACCATGCCAGGTAGTCAGAGAGCAGTTAAAGCCAAGGCAAATCTCTTACTTCTGTGCAGTTTCAGAACGGTGTAGGCCATTGCAATAAGAATCCGCTCTCCTTCGAGTACGTAGACATCCCAGATCCTGAGGGTCAACCTAAAGGGAGTCTGCAATGAAAGAACCATGCAGATGTGTCAGCAGATAAACAAAAATTCATCTCTGGCCCAGATAATGAAAATAACAGCTAAGGCTACTCACACGGTCAAGGAAACACTGGAAAAACCACTTCATTGTGTAAAAGGTGGTGTTGATCTCCTGGGAATCCTGCCAAGAAGACACATTTCACCCATCTTAGAAGAAAAAAATGGCATACAGCAGAATGCAAATATAGAGTTAAATGCACACTGTATTCAAAGTGTATTTTCCCCTCCGAGGGCTTGTTTCAAGACCCTTGTGCTGCCTTGCAGGATAACTACAGGTAGTCCTTGGGACTTCCGGTTTTGCATCGCGGCAAGACAGATGCAGGAAGGCAGGGCTCTGCCGTCTGCGCCCGATTTCGCCCTGCTGGGGGCCCTGAAAAGGGCCTAAGGTCACCCCGAAGAGGTGATGAAGAAGGAGGTGTGGCTTGTTGATCACGGAAAGACAGCGGTCTTTCCGTTTGATCCAAGGAAAGCCCTCTAAACCGGCAGGGAAAAGACCAGCCACATCTCTGTGGCCAGCCATTACCTGCTGACAACCGAAGAACAAAAGCTTCAATTAGCACATCGTAAACAGCATGTTTGGAACTGGGTGAGAATATTGATCCTTTCTTTACTACTTTACAACTGAATTTCCTGGGAAAGGCTCCCAAGAAGCTAAATACCTCCGGATGTGAACAGAAGCGGTGTTTTAAATTTATTATGGGAGACAGAAATATACAATACTGAAGTGAAAGTTATACAAAGCTACAGTTTTGATAAATTTGAGAACTGAGATAACTGTTAAGATTTTCTCTTTGAAAAAAAATTCATTCTGGTGAAATGTAAGAAATCAACCCTTTGTTTTAAGAGTGGAAAATGGATTCTGAATGATATCTAGTGGTGGATTTGAGTACAGCACTATAACTAGCCCCGTGGCTGCTTGGTGATTTTCAGCTGAAGGGCAATAAAGGAAAATATTTTGGCATATTTATCATCCTGACTTTCTTGGACTATAAATACTTACTGAGCTTGGACTTTTAATCTCAAGAACTAGTGGGAGATAAAGAAAAAACTGACTTTTGAATATGTCTGGCTTCAGGGAGGTTGAACATTTTGAACACTTGGAACATTGTGGATTACAACCTTGCCTGACTGATAATTTTCAGAATACTTGAGACAGAGGATTACTATAAAATACTGCCATTAGGATTGGATTATAAAGGCTACATATAAAGACTAGAAAACCAGAAGAAACTTTGTTCCACTCTTACTGAGACTGGTGACACTAGAGGATTTCTAGGAATGATGCCTCAAGAAAAAACAAATTCTTTTCAGAAGGAAATATTCTCCATGCTACAGCTAATTCATCAAACAATTGTTGCACACAAAGAGGACATAAAAAGAAACCATAATGAGACTAAAAATAACCTAGATGATATAAATGACCAAATCTCCAAATTGAAGCAACAACTGGAAAGTTCTCAGATTAACGATTACAAAGTATGAACAAATAAATCAGAAACTAGAAGCAGAAGAAATAGACCTAGAAAGGGAAGAGATTGGAGAAGGGAAATATGGACTGCCATATACAAATAAAATACTGCAAGACCTACCTATAACAATGAAAATACAAAGGACCCCTTACTCCTTTCTCCAAAATACATCTGATGACAAGGAAGAAGATTATAGAAAATGGAACATAGAGCGGGCAGGGGAAATGTTTAAGGAATGTGGATGGGTGGAGTTCCCCCCCCCAAAATACTCTACCTAAATTATCTTCCTCATGCCAAGCAGCTTTCACAAAAATAGAAAGAAAATTTTGGGGCAATTTATTGCCTTGTCCTGGAAAGCTACTTGGCAAAGAAAGAAAGCGAGAGTTAGATTTAAAAAACAGAGGATTTGATCTATCAGAGGAGACATTATCTATTTAATATACCTGTCTGAATATGATTAAAAGAATGGATGACCCTTAGATATAACTAGATTTTTATAATGGAAAGTATGATTTAGAATTAAAATAGCATTTTTTTTCTTCTTTTGATATGGGAAATTTGAAAATAAGAGGATTGGTATGAATAAATTTTTTTACCTATATAAATAATTAATAATGAGAAAATCATAAATGACAAAGATACTTTAAATATTGATAGGAAATTAAACTTTAATTAGAGCCCAAAAAACAGGATATTGACTTATGAATTGATATTATTGTTATTTGTATATTAGTAAAATATGATGATGTCTATACCTAATTTTGTATACATCAATAGTACCAAGAATTGTAATTGTCTAATGAGGGGAAAATGGAAAAACCATGGGAAAGGAAGGAGGATCAAGGAAAGAATACTGCATTGTGCAGTACTAAATAGATTTATATTGAAGAAGTTAATGTTAAATATGTAAACCCAGACATGTTGTTTACTAAACTTTTAAAGATTGTAATTTTAAATACTTTAATAAAACTTATAAAAAAATAACTACAGATAGTCCTCGACTTACAACAGTTCATTTAGTGAGTGTTCAAAGTTACAACAGCACTGGAAAAAGTGACTCGTGATCATTTTTCACTCTTATGGCTGTTGCAACTGACTCATATTTATAACAGTCACAGTGCCCCGGGGTCATGTGATCACCTTTTTCTACCTTTGGACAAGCAAAGTCAATGAGGAAGCCAGATTCACTTAACAACCTTGTTACTGACATAACAACTGCAGTGATTCCCTTAACAACTATGGCAAGAAAGATCGAAAAATGGGGCAAAACTCACTTAAATGTCTCGCTCAGCAACCGAAATTTTGACCTCAGTTGTAGTTGTAAGTCGAGGACTACCAGTTTATGGTAACTCTGGTGACAGATATGTTGGGAAACCACTGTTCAGCTTCTAGACATATGGGTTGTCTCCAAGCTGCTTACAGCAGGGGTCCCCAACCTCCTAAGCCAAGCTTCATCTGCACATGTGTGTGATCTAAGTAGCACATGAAACCATCTCCCTCATTTATGGGAAAATTGTTTTCCATGGAACTGATTGGGGACCACTAGCTTAGAGTATTTGCATCCCATCCCATCCCATCCCATCCCAGAACATCTCACTGCCCTCATAAGAAACCTAAAGAATAACAGAATGACAGAGCTGGATGAGACCTTGAAGGTCTTCTAGTCCAACCCCCTGCTCAAGGCAAGAAACCCTATACCATTTCAGACAAATGGTTGTCCAATCTCTAAACGTACCCAATTCCTGCAACCGTTCTTCATATCTTTTAACTTCCAGCCCTCCTAATCACCTTTGTTGCTCTTCTCTGTACTTTTTCTAGAGTCTCAGTATCTTTTTTTATATTGCGGTGACCAAAACTGGGTGCAATATTCCAAGTGTGGTCTTACCAAAGCTTAAAGACAGGTCAGGAATAAAGACATGTCAGAAAGCCACAGAATGGGCACAACATGGCCAAAAAAGACTGCTCTAGGCTTGCAAAGGAATGTTGACAAGATCGAACACTTTCTCCTTATTTATTCAACCTGTGTGTTGAAAATACACGAAGGGAAGATGAGTATGGTTTTAAAATTGGAACAGGACGATCAATAACTTGCATTATGCTGATGACACTATTCCAATAGCTGAAAATACAATGGATGTGCAAGCTCTGGTAATAAAAGTCAAGAAGCACAGTGATAAAAAGGAACTTTAATTAAAAAGATCAAACTAATGACTGCAGGTAAAACAACCAGCCTTAGGATAGATCAGTGTTTCTACAGTGTTTCCCAACTCCCAATTCTGGGAGTTGAAGTCCACATGCCTTAAAATTGTCAAGTTTGGGAAACACTGGGATAGATAATGAAGATATCAGAGTGGTAGGTTGCTTCTGCTATTTTAGGATCCACCATCCATAGTAAAGGAACAAGCAGTCAAGAAATAGACTACCAGGTAGCACTTGGTAAAGTAGCCATGAAAGACTTTTTGAAAAGTTATTCATATCTCATGATGTGTCTATGTCTATAAAGATTAGTATGGTGCCAGCTGTTGTGTTTCCTATGACACTCTATGGAAGCGAAAGTTAAATGAAAATTAAATGCCAAAGAAATTTCATCTGTGAACAATTCCCTTGATCAACATATTCATGTTGGCATTTACTTACAAAATGTTGCTTAAGCTTGGACAAAAATTTCTTCATTATTTTGTCATGATGCTCTTGAAACCTCAACAGCTTAGGAAAACCAGGAATAAAAAACCCTAAAATTGGGAAAAGTGAGGGAAGGAAAAGACAGGTCATCATGAACAAGCAACTATTTATTTGTTTGTTTATTTGTTGTTTGTTTCTTTGTTTGTCTGTCTGTTTGTAAAACTTGTTTACCATCTATCTCACCACAAGGCGACGCTGCACACTGCAGTAACTTAATAAGTAATGTTAAATTAAAATATACTATTTTAATAGGATTACTAATCTATACCTAGGCTAATGCAACATCTGAATCTGAGTTATAACAATGGGAAAGATGAAAAAGAAGAAAAAGTGGAAGGAAACAGAAGAGGATGACCAGTAGCAGAGTGGATGGTCTCAACTACAGCAGTGAAAGGTGCTTTGCTAGAAGATCTGAAGACTTAGGATGGGACAGACCGTGCTGAACAAGTTCTAGTTATGTAGTCACTAAGAGCTGACCTCAGTTTGATGGTGTGCGATCAATCATTCGAGGTTTAATGCAGTTGGCTGTTCAGTATCTTTTGGAAACATGTTATGCGAACCAGGTCACTGCATGAAGCCATACAGATAGTCCTCAACTTATAACCATAACACAGAGACTGCCCATTATGGTTGTAAATCACGACAATGGTAAAGCCATTGTCACGTGACCAGGCCCAATTTTAACCATCTTTTGGTGCCTCTTGTTAAGTGAATGTTGAAGTCATTCAGCAAACTCATTGTTCACAATGGGGTATTTTTGCTGAAAACCAGAAGTAAAAGATCTGTTTTCAGCAAAAACAGATCCTAAATCGGACTCATGTGACTGCAGGACACTGCAAAAAGCCACAAATGTGGGCTGGTTGCTGAGCACCTGAAATGTGGTTACACAATCAGGGGGGGGGATGGTTGGGAGACGTTGCGGGGGGCAGCTGTCAGAATTTTGTAAGTACTTTTGGGGGGATCCATTGTAACTTTGAACAGTCACTAAGCAACCAGTTGTAAATCAAGGACTACCTTTAACACCATTTGTTTCAGCTCTATGTGATATCCATAAGATCTTTGACTTGTCTACTTGGTTTAGGACTGTGGTGCGAACCCAGCCACGATATTGAAGCATTGAAAAGCAAAATTCTAAATGTAATTCTTTAAAAAAAAAGTGTAATGTGAAGAGGCCAGTTTAGCTATAATGGCACTGAATGAAACGTCAGACACCTACCATGCATAGCATGCTTGGGCCCCGAGAGCAGTTTCACCAAAGCCCAAAAAGCATCTTCTTCATTCATGTACATTAGGAGCAATGCGGTTATGTGGCTCATCCCTTGACAGTATCCAACCTCCTGGGGGAAAAAGTAGACAAAACCGTTACAAAATTTGTGTACACATGCGAACAATCATGAAGCAGTTGTGCTCACTTTCTTGTAGTAAAGGTAGATGGAGTGTGTATTATGAGATATTTGAAGGAAGGATATTCCTGAGGATTAGCTCTCTGTCTGACTTTGCATAGAGAACTAAAAAGGAAAATAAGACTGGTATAACTAGCAGCCTTGGCTCTTTTATGACTCGTGGACTTCAACTCCCAGAATTCCTGAGCCAGCCATGCTGAGGGGAAAGGGAGAGGTTTCCATGGTGAGCCATGCTGGCTCAGGAATTCTGGGAGTTCAAGTCCACAAGTCATAAAAGAGCCAGGGTTGCCTACCCCTGGCCTAGAGCTTCTACAGGACAAGCTATCATTATCTAATTTTGTTTATCCTGAAGATGTAGAGAGGCCTCTAAGGCAGTGTTTCTCAACCTTGGCTGCTTCAGAGCATGCTGGCTGTGGAATTCTGGGAGTTGAAGTCCATGGATCTTAAAGGAGCCAAGTTCAAGAAACATTGCTCTAAGGAAACGTTGACTATAAAATTAGAAGAGGACAAAGGAGTCCTTTCTTCCCATCTTCTGCACTTTGACCTGTTGTTATTCTCTATCTTTAGCTTATTCCATGTAACCTTTAGCTCCTCTCCCATTTAAGTGACTGGCAACCCTCATGGTGAAATACTGCTTAATACAAAACAGCCTTCAAGACAGAGTATTTGTACTTCAGAAGGAAGTCAATGCAAACCCTCTGATTAAATTTCTCTCCTTTCAAACTGATTCATTTGAACAAAGAATTTGGACCTACCTGAAATGTCCATATTAATTTAATCCAACCTATTCCCCCAATTGAGACTATATTATCATTTAGGGTTTATGCTACCTTAAAAGAGTTTTGTTGTGAGTTTCATGGAACTCAATCTGACACTTGTGAATAGGAAGGCACAGAATTATAAAGTGAGCAAGTTATGGATTTTAGCCCACTAACACAGTTTGGCTTATCCTAGTAATGCTACCGGGAAATTCACTTGTTCTGCTCAATAGATTAAAATGGCTACCTCTCTTCAATTGTTCATATCAGCGGTAAGAAGGAAAACATTTGTCATCTTTTCAGGAACATTTGTAAATTTCCGTTCCAAAATTTCACAACTGTTTCTTCTTCGTGACCCTGCTCAATAACGCTGCTAAAATTGATTAAGCTTAAAATGTAGCATTTTATTAGCTGGGTGAGTTTATTCACCACTGTTTTTACAGTTTCTGATCTTAATGGTTCCAGGCAAGCCTTTGCAAAACAAGCTTTGATAGCATCTGGCCAAGAATCAGAAATATTTTCTTTTACACCTGTTGAGCCAAACAATCCAATACAGAATTATGCCTATTCAAAGTCACTGTTTTCATGTTGACCTTGAGAATTCTATTTCCATGAAATTCAACATCGCTTAAGAATGACCTATGTAACCGACGGCGTATAGATGCAGAGAGGCATACACGGAGCATCTTACCGTATTATATACAGAATATGCAGCTAAGACATGGAACAAAGATTGTTGCCTAGGGGAAAAAACACAGAAAGTAACTATACAAAATGAAAATGTGTTCTGGAGCCACGTTACAGGAAAAAAAAAAAATACTTGTGATTTAAAATGTTGCTGGCTTAATTTCATATCAGTCCTATTTTGTACATCTGTATAACCCTGCACAGTGATAAGCATCTCTCAGGTACAATATACTGCGAAATTTAATGCACTTTAAGACAAAGGGAAGAGATTTAGATCTAGACCCTACTTTGTGGGGTTCCTCATAATTTTGTACTCTTTCTGTTCCTACTTAACATTCACATGAAGCTGCAGAGTGGGGTTCTCTGCCATGTGCAGTTAAGTATCATCAGTGGGCAGATGATACTTAGTTACAGAAACTCCTTGGTTAACAACAGTAATTGGGACCTGAATTTCCATTGCTAGCTGATGAGGCACTATGGCATGTGATGGCATTGTTTGGTGATGGTCCTGATGATGGTCATTAACAGAACCCCACTCAAATCCTACCTGTTATGTGAGGACCTACCCAGATCCAAGCCATTCTGTAGGAGAAGGGCAGGCAGAGCTGGGGTGGAGTTAAGCAAATCATCAACCTGGAATCGTTACATTCCCACAAGTGGTCCATGTCCACCCCCTCTTGAATTCCATTGACCCTTATCTGGTCAGTGTTGAATTTCAGTTGACCAGATTCTTGTGTATAAGCTTGAGTAAATACTGCAACCTAACGGATGGCTCTGATTCTTTGCATCTAACAGGTTTCTTCCTCCCAATCCTAAGCCTCCTTTTCAACTTTTTGTTGTTGTTAATTGCGAAGTCGTGTCTGACCTATCGCGACCCCATGGACAATGTTCCTCCAGGTCTTCCCCTTTTCAACTACCCTCACTCAAATATCTCCCCTCCCCTTTCTGTCCTTTGGGCTGCCCAAGACTTCATTGGCCCTGCTGCCTATGCTTCAGTCTTGTGAAAAGGCCACACATGATTCTACCAATGTTTAAGAGCATCGACCAATTGTTTTCATAAGGCACGTGTGCGCGTGCGCGCGCGCGCGCACACACACACACACAGAGGAAGACTTTATTTCAAAGCAGTTCTCTCTGCTTATCACAAGAAAAGCTGATACTCCTTATTGACTTCTGGGTTGCCTTTCTGCTTAACTGAACACTGAAAGCAGCCTACTATTTACAAAGATCGGCTATCTATCTATTATGTATGTGTATGAGTGATAAAAGCAAGTACATCAGTGTTCCATTATATGGTGAAATACTTACAAAAGCTCTCTTTTTAAGGGAAAAAAAAGAAAGACCACGCAGGGTGTTGCCTATCTGGAAAAGAGCTCTGTTATAACCAAAGAAACTGAGCGTTGAAGGAAAGGGACTGTTGCGGAGGAACATTCACGTTACAAAATGTAATATTGTATTTTGTAAAAATATGATGAAACCTGGACGCCTGGGGGTACCTGTTTCTAGCTTGCCCTTCCATTCACTCACACCTTCATTGTAGCCCCAGTCTGCATTCTGGGTCCAGAGAACATGCTGAATCCTCACAGATTTATTTTTTATCCTGTGTTTATTATTTTTTACAATTAACTCAAGGCAGCAAATATATCCAACACACCTTCCTCTCCCTATTTCCCCCACAATTCTTTGAGGTGAACTGGACTGAGAGAGTGTGACTGGCCCAAAGTCACACAGCTGGCTTTGATATCTAAGGCAGGACTAGAACTCACCATTTCCTGGTGACTGGCTCAAGGTCACACAGTTGGCTGTCAGGTGGGACTAGAACTCACCATCTCCTGGTGATTGGCTAAAGGTCACTCAGCTGGTTCTCATGCCTAAGGCAGGAGTTGAACTCATAGTCTCCTACTTTCTACCCTGGCGCTTTAACCACTAGACCAGTGGTTCTCAACCTGTGGGTCGGGACCCCATTTGGGGTCGAATGACCATTTCACGGGGGTTGCCAAACAACGCAGTCCGCCATATTTTCCCCCTTTTCCTTAGCTGTGCTATTCCCTTTTATTCTATTGGCTTTTGAAAGCCAATAGAATAGACTCTCTTGAATAGAGTCTAATTCTATTGGCTTTCAAAAGCCAATAGGAATTGTCCAGGCTGTCTCTGCCCTGCTGAGCCCGCCAAAAGTCCCATTCTGCAAACGGTGCTGCACCAGTTGAGTAGTCCTTGACTTACGACCGGTTGAGTAGTCCTCGACTTACGACCGGTTGGGGGTCGCGGCATTAAAAAGGTTGAGAACCACTGCACTAGACCAAATTTGTTTTGACTTTTTTTTCGTATCTACTGACTTGGTTTCCTTACCCTTACCACAGAATCCCTTCCTCTTTTGTGCACAGATAGTCATTCTGGCTATGTTAACAACATCTGAGGTTGAAATTTGGACACCATCATCATCATCATCGTCATCCTGACAAAATGTATAGACATTTTTGCAGAGAAAACATGTCATCTTCTACACTCTCTGCAGTTTAAGAGAGGCACCCACCGAAGAGGAAACAGTACAGGTAGTTTTCGAGTTATGGATGTAGCTGAACCCCACAATTATGGTTATAAGTCGTGATGGTTGAAAAAGCAAGTCGCAATGTGACTGGGCCTGATTTTACAATTTTTTTTTCCAGCAGTCATAAAGCAAATGCGAATACATTGTTCATTATGGGACGGGTTTTGACAGAAACTGGAAGTCAATGCCAGTTTTCAGCAGAAACGCAAGTTGTGATCGTGTAATCACTACAAACGCTACAAACGGTTGCAAAAGCGGTCAAGCAGATTAAAATGTGGTCATGGGCCTGTGGGTGGGTGTGCAGAAGTTAGAACTTCGAATTCAGATCATAAGTCCCATTTTAGCGATCCTCTGTAACTGCCAGTTACAAGTCGAGGACTACCTATAACTGGGGGACATGGAAACAAGCCCTCTTTTTGATGGTCTTCTCCTTCTGGAACATTCTGTCCCTTGAAAGTTAGAATGGCTCTTTTCCTGTTAATCAACAGGAGAAGCTCCCACAAAGCTCTTCCAGTGCCTTTGGGGAATAAATGTTATTGTTATCTCCAAGTCATGAGAGCTATCTGATGGGTTTTATTGTGAACATTTTCTCAAGTTATTACATCTCTTGTTGCCGATTATCAATCTGTTGGTTTGATCACAGTTGTTCTTGTCTTGTTTATTGTATTGAGCTATTCAAACAGAAATTTTCTAAACAAACCACCAGGGAAAATGCAATTTATTAAAAAATAAATAAAAACCATGAGCTTCACACATAGCTTTAGTCATAGAAGGTTGCAGTGCTAACTTAGGACACAGTATTTCATCTGAATCATCTCAAAGTCAAGGAAAAATCATGTTCAAAAATTAGAACAGGCAATTTAGATATAGCTAAGAGCTTGGACAATGCTCAGTGGAATTACTGACATTTTATTTTCCATGATGCTATTTTACTAACTATTCTGATAATTCTCCTGAGGTTAGAAAATGGTTTTTCTAAAAAAAAAAACTAATTTGCAATTTAATCTGCTCGTTTCTCAGAGAGGGGGGGTACAACTGTCTAAAATAATCACAATCCAAAACATTCTTAGAATACTTTCACAACTAACTAAACAATAATTTTGTTTGTTCAGTTTTGCAAAAAGGGAGCTTAGGCAATACTTCATACTGTAGTAAACACAAGTTGACTGTAATACTTAAGAAGCCATTTGCAACCTGGTGCCCTTCTGGTGCTTCGGATCTACAACTCAAAACTCTTGTTGTGAATCTGGAGCACTGTAAGCCTATTGCATCTGAAACCAACTCATAAAAAAGTGTAACTGGCTTTCATAATTTCCAAATATATTTAAGCTAAAACAAATACTGAAAGAAGTACTGATTTTTCTTCACATGGATCTATATGACTATGGGAGATTACCAAATATCAGCTTTGGATTAATGTAAGGGATTCTTTGAAAGGTAATCCAAGCAGGTAACTGAATTTGGCAATTTTGGAACACTTTCATCCAAGACAGTTTAGTGTTTCTTTCTGGCATGTTTAAAATGCAGGGTGACGGCTTTTTAAAATTTGCTTGTACTGTTTCAAAACCAAATGCAGCATTCAGGATTTAACATGGGAAAATATGCCTCTGTTTCAATGTTCAATGTTAAAATGTTACTATTTTAAAAACTTAAAACTATTTTCTAGATATCTTGCTAATTATACTTTTCCTAACAGGCTTTTCCAGCCTGTTAAATACAAAAGAGCTTGATTCTGCTTTGAATTTCAGAGCATCGCATGTGTTTTGGGGTCCAGATCTCCCATGGCAAAGAGACAATACCAAAAAAAGAGAATATTCGTAGTTCAGGGTTGAACTGTGAGGTCCTTGGTACTCTCTGAGCTTGGTGCTTTTCTTGCAGACATTTCATTACCCAACTAGGTAACAGCATCAGTCCACAAACATCTGCAAGAAAACCACCAAGCTCAAGGGGATGGGAGGAAGTTTTTTGGGGGAAGACAGGACTCAAAATTTTGCTGCACTTCTGTATAAATTACAGAATCTCTTGAAGTTCCAGAAAATAAAAAAACAACAACAAGATCCACATGAAAGGAGCTGATTTAGCATCACTCACTTTACTCCATATCTATCTCTGAACATGATGTGATCCCGATAGGTCCGATTAACGTCAAGATCAATTTGCCGGATATCTGGAGAAGTTCCTCTTGCTCGAGTTTTTAAAGTCTGGGGGGGAGGGACAAAGAGAGAAACAATCAACAAATGTATATACCCTAAGATGTCATAACTCATGATAGCTTATCATCCTTTTTGATGACCTTCCACTTCTTACAAAGGTGGTAAATCTATTCTGTTTGGGCTGAGGGAAGCATAACAGATTTTCTCCTTTCCAAAATATCTTATCCCAACAAGAGACAGGATTTCAAACACAAGCAGCCAAACACAGTGAATATCCCTCTGGGAAAGTCACGTGAAAAAAGGGTATTATATTCATTTCATGTTCTTCCGCTGGCTTCCATATTTACATCTGGGAGGAACCATGACAAGGAATCTTGATCTACAGATCATTTTGGTCTGATTCGGCATACTCCTGGTGAAAGGAATGAAAGGAACATCTTAAACTTGCTCTATTCATCAGTGAATGCGGTGTAAAGTCAAAGGTGGCACGAGTTAAGAGAAGCAGCTGCTTCTGAATTGTTTGCATGTTGCAGAAGATTCTACGTTTTGGAGAATCCATCCAGAAGTTTAAGGACTTCCAGAATTCTAGAGGTCATGCGCTAAGAAACTCTGAGAGCTACAGTCCCACAGGACATCCGTTTAAGAAAAGCATTATATGTAACTGTGGGGTTGCAAGGAAACCGCCAAGCTCACTCAGACAGCACCAAGGACCCCAGAGTTCAGCTTTGAGCTACTACAAAACTCCCTTTTTATGACACTGTAATCCTTTAATTTGGGATAGAGTTGGGGTGACTGGAGCTCAGCATTTACTGGCTAGAGATCCTGCCACACAGAGCTCACAGCAAATAACCTTAATAACCCTGGGCTACTAATCTTCTCTTCTCTTCTATCTATCTATCTATCTATCTATCTATCTATCTATCTATCTATCTATCTATCTATCTATCTATCTATCTATCTATCTATCTATCTATCTATCTACTCTTCTCCAACACAGATATCCCTGAACTACTAATATTCTCTTCTATTTCAGGCATCATATCTATCTATCTATCTATCTATCTATCTATCTATCTATCTATCTATCTATCTATCTATCTATCTATCTATCTATCTATCTATCCTCCAACACAGATATCCCTGTGTTGTAAGTTTTGGTCCTCTTCTCCTATCTTCTCTTCTCTTCTCTTCTCTTCTCTTCTCTTCTCTTCTCTTCTCTTCTCCTCTCCTCTCCTCTCCTCTCCTCTCCTCTCCTCTCCCCTCCCTCCCTCCCTCCCTCCCTCCCTCCCTCCATCCATCCATCCATCCATCCATCCATCCATCCATCCATCCATCCATCTATCTATCTATCTATCTATCTATCTATCTATCTATCTATCTATCTACTCTTCTCCAACACAGATATCCCTGAACTATTAATATTCTCTTCTATTTGAGGCATCATATGTAAGTTTTGGTCCACAGGCTAAGTATCTGCCCCAAATTACAATTTTTTGACAGCAGAATTTCTGCCAATTTTCTCTGGAAGTGAAAGGAAATAGGTATTTTGAGTCTCTTAGCAGGTTTAAATGTAATTATTAATTCCTTAATCAAAACAGTAGCAGATGAATATTTCACTCTTATGTTTTCCACCCTCTCAATTCAAAACTTCTCTGGGAGTTGAAGAAGTAAAATTTGAAAGTTGAAAAGTAAAAATTTAAATCTGTAAAATGCATAAACTTAAATACAACATCCAAAAGAGAATTTAAAAAACAGATCAAACATGACACAAGACTGTTTCTTAGGGTACAACATTTACTTACCTGTTTTATTAACTAGATCTATGAAGGCCATCCAATTCAAACAATGTGATTCTGTATGGCATAGCACACACACATGCATACACACAAAACAAACAATAAACCAGGGCAGGTAAGGGGAAATCTTATGAAAAGAATGAGATCTGAGAAACTGTACTGGTTCTGAGCATAGCATAAACATCTACAACCAGTACTGAAATCTGAAATCTTTTCAACAGAAAAATGGGGGGGAAAAGCTAAATAAATCTTCAGACCTAAGAAATTAAGTTGTAGTTGTACTAAGGTTCTTGCCTGGTGGATAATTCTGATTTAGGGTTCATATTATTGAGTACTTTCCAAGAAAAAAAAAAGATTAAACACTTAGAAAGAATGGCATTTATCAATTATATCGCATTTACTATTTGCTGCATTAAATAAAATAAAAGCTCTGTGTTTCACTTGCTGGCTTGGAAACTCACATTATAATAACCTCTCATTTCTTCTTTCATTTTTGGGACGTCGAGCAACAGGGACCAGATTTCACCCCTCAACTGCAATGGAATCCCTTTATAGATTCTTCTATGAAACTGTGCCCAAAAAAGAAAAGCAAATGTAATTAACAGGTACAGAGGTAAATCGGAGTGAAATTATTACGTGACGGCTATTGCAATATCAGGAGGTCCAGGTAGTCCTCAACATATGACCACAATTGAGCCCAAAATTTATGTTGTTAGGTGAGACATTTGTTAAGTGAGCTTTTCCCCATTCATGACCTTTCTTGCCACACTTAAGTGAATCCCTGCAGTTCTTAAGTCAGTAGCATGGTTGTGTTAAGTGAATCTGGCTTCCCCGTTCACTTGGCTTGTGAGAAGGTCGCAAAAGCTGATCACACGGCCCCAGGACACTGCAACCGTCATAAATATGAGCCAGTTGCCAAGCATCTGAATTTTGATCATGTGACTATGAGGATGCTGCAAGGGTCATAAATATGAAAAACGGTCATAGGTCACTTTTTTCAGTGCCGTTGTAATTTTCAACGGTCACTAAACAAACTGTTGTAAGTAAAGGTGCCTACTAGAAATCATTTAGAACATAGAACATAAAATAATGTTGAAAGGGACCTTAGAGGTCTTTTAGTCCAAGCACCAGCTCAAGCAGGAGACCTTATACCAGGGATGAGCAATTAATTTTCCCAATGGGCCACATGAGAAACTGGGATTGTTATGGAGGGCATAACCAATAGGCTGTGAGGGTGTGTAGGCATGCCAAACACATATATGTATTTTCTTTTAAATAGGAGTTGCCTTCAAAATAAAAGCAATCTACAGGTGCTGGCCAGAGATGGCCAAAGGACCAGATGTGGCCCAGGGGCCATAAAATGCCCAGGTCTGCTCTATACCATTCTGGACAAATGGTTGACAACCTCTTCTTGAAAACCTCCAGTGAAGGAGAACCCACAGTTTCAGGGGCAAGTTATTCCACTGATTAGTTGTTCTCACTTCAGATCATTTCTCCTTAATTCTAGGCTGGATCCCTTTTTAGTAAGTTTCCATCCTTTTAGGGCAGGGGTCTTCAAACTTGGCAACTTTAAGACTTGTGGACTTCAACTCCCAGAATTCCTCAGCCAGCTATGGCTGGCTGAGGAATTCTGGGATTTGAAGTCCACAAGTCTTAAAGTTGCCAAGTTTGAAGACCTCTGTTTTAGGGTATTAAATTTAGTAGCTGGAACAGTAAAATTGTACAATGGGCTAGAATATACAGTTGGAGTTGATTGATTGGAGAGTGCAGGCTCCTGCATGAGGCAATCTACGCTGTGATTGGTTGCTGTGGGTATAAAGGGGGAGTTTCCCTTTTTTCCCGCCTTTTTCTGCCATGTGCTCTGTGTGCTATTTTTGGATTTACCTCATGATGCTCCTGACTATCTTGTCTGCTGTAAATATAAATGTTAAATATATTTATCTATATAAAAGTACAAGTTGGTGTCAGTGTCTCTGACTTCATCTGGACAGCTGCTGCACAATTTCCTGACACATCCAATATTTCTTGTCCTGCCCTCAGGTGCTTTTTGGAAAATAGGCTGACTTCCTTTCTTCTCTGTGACAGCCTGACTCTGTCACTCTATCTATCTGCTTCCTTAACTCACTCCTTTGACTAGTGTTATATCTGCTATTTTTCTTAGCTAAAAAGTTTAAGACACTTATACAGAAACATCTGCACTTCCTGAAAATCAAGACTTCCCCCCCTCATCGTTCACTTTTAATTTCATTATTAATGATTTCTCCAGCATCACGTTTTAGTTAAAAAAAAAAAAAAACCACAGCCTCTATGTTATGCAACTCTTGGCTCGCATTAACACAACTTTAAGTAAAAAATGTCCATTTAATGCATGTTCTGACTTGCTTAAGCAAAGAATTCCAGAAAACACCTTCTGAATACATTGATGGCAACACCAAATTAAAAATAAAAGCTCACAAAATTTAAAAAAAAAATAAAAATAACATTTACCAGTGTTAATAAAGATAATCTTAAGGAGAGCAGTTAAATCCCTTCTTAAATTTTTCTGACTTAACATTCTCTAGCTGTTTTAGGTGAACAAAGGATATTTTTAAAGTACTTTTCAGGAGATATGAGTCTCCTAACATTTAACAGTCCTTCAACAGCCTGAGATTCTTCTATCAAAAAATGAGAACCTGTCTTGCTAAAGAAGTTATCATTTAAAATATTCACTTTCATCTTTGCTATCTGTTTCAAATTCTGATAGTTCAAAAGAGAAAACTACCATAGAAGCAATCCTTGAGAAGAAGAAAGGGGATTATAACAAAAATTGTACTTGCTTATCTATCACTAAGCCATGATTCAGCATTCATCAAACCACAGGCTGGTATCATGGAAACAAGCAGGAATTAGATTTTCATTCTGGAGCATTCCTAATTTAATTCTAGGATCAGACACACACATCAATCTCCACGGTCATATGAAGAGGTCCAGTGGCTTTCCATAAAGAGAGATCAGATCTGAATCAAGATGGGAAACCAGCTTACTCTCTTTGCCTGCACTTAAGTCCTAGTGAAGATATGATGATTTGTTTAGTTGCAAGTAAGCGCATGAAAAGAATTGTGTGCTCCATCTCTCCTGTGTACAGATTATGTTCTTCTTTTTTGGAAGCAGTGATGAGCATCATATCGGCACCAGTCTTAATGCTCCCTCTGGCTAGCTGAAAATTACATTGAACGGCACATAATCAAGTTAGCACATTTTTTCCCCTTAAAGTAATATTGAACTATATGGCCACATATATATAGAAATTGTGTCAGGAATTGCTTCAAGGGGATAAAAAAGCAACTCTCTGTGCCTTAGTAAGTTTATAACAGCTTCACTGCAACAAATGTCGTGTTTTATAATATTCAGAAATACATTTTTATAGGTCATAAAATGGAAAGGAAAGGAAAAGAGTTTAAAGCAAGCTTGAAGTAAAGCAATGTCACCAACACAGCACCGATGAGTAGCAGGATGCTGACTCAAAATGCCCCACCCTCCTTCCCCATAAAATAAATTACCAAAGGGAGGTGAGATTATAGCCCTCTCCTGTTAAATATTGGCCAAATGATGGCATTTTTCAAAGAAGCACCTGAGCCTTTATATGAGGGTCAGGGATGAGCAGCTTCTCTAATGAAAGAAAGGAAGCAGATGGATTTTGTAAGAGAGTTTTTAAAAAGTCTTTGTTTATTTATTCAATTTCCAACAGCCACCTATCTCAAATAACTCAGGGTGGAGAGAGAGAGAGGAGAGGAAAGGGGAGGGGAGGGGAAAGGAGAGGAGAGGAGGGGAGGAGGGGAGAAGGGAAGGAGAGAAGGGGAAAGGAAGGGGAGGAGGGGGAAGAGAAATGGAGGAGAGAAGAGGAGAGGAGAGGAGAGGAGAGAAGAGAAGAGAAGAGAAGAGAAGAGAAGAGAAGAGAAGAGAAGAGAAGAGAAGAGAAGAGAAGAGAAGAGAATCAAGAAATCAAAATTATATATACCAAGAAAATTATAACCAAATAACACACTCAAGGCTCCAGATCCAGGCACATAACTAATTCTTCTCCACCTTGTTGTTATTAGTTGTGAAGTCGTGTCCGACCCATCACGACCCCATGGACAACATTCCTCCAGGCCTTCCTGTCCTCTACCACCTTCTGGAGTCCATTTAAGCTCACGCCTACTGCTTCAGGGACTCCATCCAGCCACCTCATTCTCTGTCGTCCCATTCTTCTATGGCCCTCAATCTTTCCCAGCATTGGGCCCTTCTCCAGTGAGTCCTTCCTTCTCATTAAGTGGCCAAAGCACTTGAGTTTCAACTTCAGGATCTGGCCTTCTAAATAGCAGTCAGGGTTGATCTCTTCTAGGATTGACCGGTTTGATCGCCTTGCAGTCCAGGGGACTCGCAGGAGTCTTCTCCAGCACCATAGTTCAAAGGCCTCAATTATTTGGCGCTCAGCCTTTCTTATGGTCCAACTTTCACAGCCATACATTGCAACTGGGAAAACCATGGCCTTGACTATACATACTTTTTTTGGCAGGGTGATGTCTCTGCTTTTTAGTATGTTGTCTAGATTTGGCATAGCTTTCCTCTCCAGGAGCAAGTATCTTTTAATTTCTTGGCTGCAGTCCCCATCTGTGGTGATCTTGGAACCCAGGAAGATAACATCCGTCACTACCTCCATTTCTTCCACCTTACAAAAGACCAACATGCCAAGGCCAGTGCAATCTCTGAAGGGAGAATCTTCTGGAGGGTAGGTGCTATAGCTGAGAAGGAACACCATCTAGTCTCCACCAATTGACATTTCTTGGGTGACAGGACTTGTAGTATGTCCAACCCAGTCAGATGGGTGGAAACAACTGGGAGGAGATGGTCCCTCAGGTAACCCAGTCCCAAGCCATGAAGGGCTTCCAAGGTGACAACCAGCACCTTGAATTGCACCTGGGAACACACTTACAACCAATGCACTTCACATACCAGTGATGTTATATTTGTATTTACTATCCATACAACCACATTCTGTACTAGTTGAAGCTTCTGAATGCTCTTCAAGGACAGCACCATGTAGAGGACATTGCAGTAATCCAAACGGGAGGTCACAAGGAGATGGGTTTTTCCACTGCTACACCAATATTTCTGAAATACTGATAGTTCAGAAATTCTGAAAGCCACCTTCTTTGTACTTCGTTCTTATAACAAATAAAAACAGAAGGCCAAGGCTATAGCACCCAATTTGTACTTTTGCATTTAGTAAATACAGTTGCTGAAGGAAACACTCAACTTTACCTTATCTGTGTTCTTGTATTTCTCCCAGTTTTTTAACATCTTCAACCATTTTGTAGTTCTTTCAATCTCAAGCTGCTTTTGCTGAAATAAAATCAGAGGCCATTAGTCTCTCCACTTCAAATACTCCTCAAGAATTCTTTTTCAACATTTATAAGCCTCTAGGGACAGACACTGTGATGTGTTTAACAGCCTGAAATCACTAGCAAGTATTTTAAATCAAATGGAAGGCCCAGTCAACTGAACAGACCCCTCCTAAGTTTTTATCTTAAAAGAGTACAGGAGTCTGCAATTTTCAACAAATGAGGAAATAGTTATAGCTGAATTTATGAGTGTATTACTATCCACTCCATTTGAAAGGCTTTTTTAAACCAGATTTTGTGCAAAAGAATTTAACTAAAATTAAATATACCTTTAACAGCTGGACTATATTCTGTACCCTGGGCAATTATACTTATAATTCCAAGAAATCGGCTGGGTTTCCCCAACAAAAGTCTCTGGGTGTTAAGGGATAGGTGCAAGTGGATCTGCAGTCTAACAAAGTTCTATTTTTAGATTGTCAACACCTTTTTTTTGAGGTTGCTTGTGAGAGATTAAGGCTCCACTTAGCACAGAAAGACCTTTTCACTATTGCTCTTCTATTGATAGTACTCACACTGCTACCTGTATTATCCCTTGTATGCTTCTAGGAACCAGTTATTCAGCCACTGATTTTCAGAACATTGGCAGTAAACTCAAGGACAGGTGATGGACCGGGAAAGAGCTATTGAAAACGTTTTGTGCTGCCATCTATTAAATACAGGGAATCCTCAAATTACAACCTTTTGTTTAATAACTCTTCCAAGTTACAACAGCACTGAAAAAAAGTGACTTACAAGCATTGCAGCATCCAAGTGGTTACTGATCAAAATTGCAACTGGCACGTATTTAGGGCAGTTGCGGTGTCCCAGGGTCATGTGATCACCTTTTGTGACTTTCTGACCAGCAAAATCAATGGGACAGCCCGATTCCCTTAACAACCATGTTATTAACTTGACAAATGCAGTGATTCACTTAACTACCATGGCAAGAATGGTTGTAAAATGGGTTAAAACTCATTTGACAATTGTCCCGCCTAGCAACAGAAAGTTTGGGCTCAGTTGTGGTTGTCAGTTGAGGACTACCTGTATCTGGATTCTTGCAGCCCAGGTAAGAGATTCTTAATGTTTAAGCCAGTTATTTTACAACCTTAGAAACTTTAAGACGGATGGCCTTCAACTCCCAGAATTCCCCAGCCAATCTGCACATCTGAAAGTTGCCATGGTTGAAAAATGCTTGTTTTAAGCAGTGGAGCCCAACCAATGGGCTTTTTCTCACCACCTTTCCCGTGTACGTCAGCCAAAGACTGAAGACTCCTGCAAGTGTCTTGGAGAAGTGGGTCTGCTAGACCCAGCTCTCTCAAGAGCATCAGTTTATACATTAGGACCTAACAATTCAAATAAATATGATAGTGTTTGGAGACACTTCTCCTTGAAGCCTGCCAATTTCGGAAATATCCTTTCAAGTAAACAGCTTGATAATTTAAGGCTTTGTGCACAAACATCCATGCAATGATTTCTAGATTCTAGCCGTGCCAATAGAAAGCAAAAAATGAAAATGATGAAGTTCTTCGGCCGCACCCCTTCGAGATGTATAATTTAGTTTAAATATTCTGGTAGAGCTAGGACTGTCGGTTAAGAGATACTGAGGAATGACTGTGGCAAGAAGGACATCATTATCGTAATTTTAGACCACTTCACCACACTTCAATAAACTCAAACTACGGTCTGCACGATGATCTAGTCTCCTGTTGAGAAATGACTGTGGAAAGCCTGCTCACCGAAGTTGGTAATAACAAGGTCTATGCAACTCAATCATTTGCAAAGTTGTAGAAGTCTCCCCAGAAACCCTACAGTTTTCTAGCAACTTTCTATTCTGATAAGGAGAACTCCCTGTTTATATATCCTCTTGATCAGTAAGTGCAATGTGATGGACTGCAATTAGAAGAATTTGAACCTCTTGGTTGTGATGAAGTGGCCCTTGTGGTACAACTGGGTTTGGGTAGTGTTTGTGGGCTGTGTTGACTATACTGGTCACAATACAGTACACAAAACTAACCAATTGCTCCTAGCTATTTTCAGAGAATGTGTCTGTGGCATGGAAGTGGTTAAGACTGGTGGGCTACCCAACCGCTACTACATCTTCCTAAAAAAGAAAGTCTCCCCTGAGCAGAGCCAGAATGGGTGGTTGAGATTGGCCAAACTAAGTTTTGCTATATATATTTTTTCTCACCATATATCCTAACTTCAGTGGTTTATTCATTCTTACATCTTTTCTGCACTCTGCATAATGGTGCGAAGGGCATGATGGATAAAAATGAAATAAGTTGAAAAAGAGTGGATGCTTGTTAGGCGGGTGCTTAAATTACAAAGAGCTCCTAGCCAAACTGTAAGTAACAAGCATGAATTACAGACTCTCTTCAGAAACTGGTGTGGGGCAATGTATTTTCCAAACAAGCCTGTAATTTACTAAAAGAGTTACAAAAATAACCTCCCTAAAACCTTAAGCAATGTGTGTGCCGTTGCCTCTTTCCAGGAAAAGAATCATACTTTTATTACAGTAATGTTTGAGGTAACAATTGCAAAGCGATTCGGTATTTTTATTTTATTTTCCTGCCTTTATTATTTTTATAAGTAAGTCAAAGCAGCGAACACACACACTATTCCTTCCTTCTCCTATTTTCCCCACAGTCACCACCCTAAGAGGTGAGTTGGGCTGAGGGTGAGGGATTGGCCCAAAGTCGTCCCGCTAGCTTTTATTCCTAAGGCGAAACTAGAACTCACAGTCTCCTGGTGACTGGCCCAAAGTCATCCAGCCAACTTTCATGGCTAAATCAGGACTAGAATTCACGGTCTCCTGGTTTCTAGCCTGGTGATTTAACCACTCAACCAAATTGGCTCTGGCTTCTGTAGTCATTCATTAGACAATTGAAAATGGAATAATAAAGTCCTTATTTTTCCAAATAGTAAGCAAACTTTTTTTTCTCTGAGAGAAAGCTTCAATGGACTAGAATTAGACAGCACTCAATCCTGTCTACAGAGCTTGGGTTATATAACCTCTTTGACTTTTCCTCAAGAATGTCAAATATATAAAAGATGCTCTGATTGCTCAGTTTGCTGAATTACTTTGCAAATACCACTTGCTGACAACCTCATTCATCCCTCTGACTCTAACTTGGCAACACTCCACTGCATAATTACAATCACAGCATATTAGCCGGTAATTGAGCACAATAACATCTGGCATTTCAACATTTTAAAACAGAGACAGCATTTCAAATGACGACCATCCCCTCTCAATTATCTCCTTTCTCAAATATTAACTACTGGTCAAAAAAACAATGTTTATTCCAGCAAGGAAGACTATAAACTGACAGGAAGGAATGCATTAAATTAAGGAGAGCAATAATTTTCTTTAACAGAGATCCATATTCATCGTTGCATTTTACAAAGAAGAAAAGCTTGATAGTGCAGCTATCTGGCTAGATCAGTGTTTCTTAAACTTTGCAAGTTTAAGGTACATGGACCATCTCCTGGAACTCCTCAATCCACCAGGCTGGCTGGGGAATTCTGGGAGTTGAAGTCCACACACACACATACACACATCTTAAACTTGCCAAGCTTGAAAAACACTGGCCTACTTCTAGATTAGCCTTGTTTAATGTAGACCAACTGGGACTGAGGTTAACCAGATTTATGAATGGGGAAATTTCAATTAAGAGAGTTAAAGGCAATCACTAGACCAGTGGTTCTCAACCTTTTTAATGCCGCGACCCCCAACCGGTCGTAAGTCGAGGACTACTCAACCGGTTGTAAGTCGAGGACTACTCAACTGGTGCAGCACCGTTTGCAGAATGGGACTTTTGGCGGGCTCAGCAGGGCAGAGACAGCCTGGACAATTCCTATTGGCTTTTGAAAGCCAATAGAATTAGACTCTATTCAAGAGAGTCTATTCTATTGGCTTTCAAAATCCAATAGAATAAAAGGGAGTAGCACAGCTAAGGAAAAGGGGGAAAAAATGGCGGACTGCGTTGTTTGGCGACCCCCGTGAAATGGTCGTTCGACCCCAAATGGGGTCCCAACCCACAGGTTGAGAACCACTGCACTAGATAGAAGTCCTCTTAGAACCAATTCAGAAATACTAACATTCCCCACAGTCAGTGCTATATGGAAGAAAGTTGTAAAGTGGTGCTTGGCAACCACAATTGGTCATTCATAGGGATGCTACGTATAAAAAATTGAGGAGTAGGATATTTCTATATGGAAGACGCTGCAACCATCCATGTGGCTTCCTGCAGCTCCTCCTCCTTCAACATGATGCTCTAAAGCAGGGGTGTCAAACTGCCGGATGCGTCATGGCGAAACCGTGCCCAGCCCATTGCCAGCAATGGAAAAGAAGTCACGATACATCGCGACACGTCATCTGACATTGCAAGTTTGACACCCCTGCTCTAAAGTACTGGACTACATTACCCATTACTTTCCAGGCAAACTTGTGCTATTGCCAGAATGTCAATGAAGACTCAATCATCCAGGTTAAAGGTGTCTAAAGTTGAATCCTGGGAACTGGACCAAACTTTTTTTTTTTTTTAATCTGAGGCATTTCGCTGCTCATCCAAGCAACTTCATCAGTCAGAGCAAAATTATTTTGGCAGAGAGTCAGAGAGCCATTGGATTATACCAACTCTTGCCAAACCATTTTCTTCCCCAAATGCCGGAATATTTTCAAAACAATGATCTTATCCCTACAATATTTTTTTACAGGTAGGTTCAGCCAAGCCAGCCATTTTTGTATGTTGGCTGACCGTTCAGATAAACCAGGGCTCTCAAATTAATTCCTTCGTAACGTTGAGATTTTGACTACCCAATGTCTCAGACGTGCTAAGGTCAGAATTTTGAAGGGGATGGAAATTAATAAATTTCCACAGGGTGCAGAAGGCTGGCAACGATGAATTCCATAGACTCGTGATCCTGACTTGGCCTAAATTAGAATCCAATATTCTAAATTCAGTACCAAACGTCTTCAGATCTTGGATAAAAAAGGAGGTCTGGGCTAGCCGGACATTCCATTAGCATGATCAGTAAGTTACCTTTTTTTGTTGTCCAATTCTTAGCCACGCAATACCAAGTAAATTTATACTGATTGCTTTCACACGCCAATCAGGTCTACATGCTTCTAAAACATGTACTGTTATCCACATCGGAGACGAGCTGCTTACCTTCTCGGAAGCTGCATCGTGGACCGGTAACTCCTCCTGGCTAAAAAGAAAGAGTAAGAATGCCAGTTACAGGGACAACAGATTGCAAGGCAGAGAAACTAAATACAGGTAGTCCTCGACTTACAACAGTTCGTTTAATGACCGTTCAAAGTTACAACGGCACCGTAAAATTATGACTTACGAACAGTTTTCACACAACCATTGTAGCATCCCCATGGTCATATCATCAAAATTCAGACGCTTGGCAACTGACTCATATTTATGACGGTTGCAGTGCCCCGGGGTCACGCGATCCCCTTTTGCAACCCTCTGACAAGCAAAGATCAATGGGGGAAGCCAGATTCACTTCACAACAGTTTGGACTAATTTAACAACTACAGTGATTCGCTTAACAAGTATGGCAAGAAAGATCGTAAAATGGGGCCAACTCACTTAACAAATGTTTCACTTAGCGACAGAAATTTAGGGCTCAATTGTGGTCGCAAATCGAGGACAACCTGTAGCCAATTCCCGAATAGCACATCATAGTTATTAGGACTGGAAGCAGCCACTGGACCAAGCCACAAAAGAACTTGGTTTCTTACTCTGAAAGAAGCCACTGCAACCATGATTTCTGAGTTAGTTAGTTAGGGGGTACCTTGCTCAATAGTAGTAAGTGTGAGAGGGACCTCGGAGTCCTAGTGGACAATCACTTAAATATGAGCCAGCCGTGTGCTGCAGCTGCCAAAAAGGCCAACACAGTGCTAGGCTGCATTAACAGAGGGATAGAATCAAGATCACGTGAAGTATTAATACCACTTTACAAGGCCTTGGTAAGGCCACACTTGGAATACTGCATCCAGTTTTGGTCACCACGATGTAAAAAAGATGTTGAGACTCTAGAAAGAGTACAGAGAAGAGCAACAAAGATGATTAGGGGACTGGAGGCCAAAGGAACAGCTGCTGGAATTGGGTATGTCTAGTTCAATGAAGAGAAGGACGAGGGGGGACATGATAGCAGTGTTCCAATATCTCAGGGGCTGCCCCAAAGAAGAGGGAGTCAAGCTATTTTCCAAGGAGCCTAAAGGCAGGACAAGAAGCAATGGATGGAAACTAATCAAGGAGAGAAGCAACCTGGACCTAAGGAGAAACTTCCTGACAGTTAGAACAATTAACCAGTGGAACGACCTGCCTCCAGAAGTGGTGAATGCTCCAACACTGGAAGTTTTTAAGAAGAGACTGGACAGCCATTTGTCTGAAATGGTATAGGGTTTCCTGCCTGAGCAGGGGGTTGGACTAGATGACCTCCAAGGTCCCTTCTAACATTATTATTATTATTATTATTATTATTATTATTATTATTATTATTATTATTATTATTATTATTATTATTATAATATTGATCATCGCACAGTCAGCCAGATGTTCAGACTGGATTTGGCATTTTGTCTACTTATCGAGTCCTTACCCAGGACCTGGGATAGGCAGATGTGGATGTTTGATGGTATTACAGATATCGTCGCAGGATGGAAGCAGTTCCTAATAAGGCAGACTTTTGCAACTGACTAATAGCGAATTTGTCAATGCCAATTGTGTTCAAGTGGTGCTCCAGTGGTTTTGGGATTGCACCCAAGGAGCCTATGACTATTGGTACTACCCTTGCTTGCTTTTGCCACAGTCTTTCTATTTCTATTTGTAGGTCTTTGTATTTTGTTATCTTCTCCAGTTCTTTCTCTTCTATTCTGCTGTCTCCAGGCACTGCCACGTCCACTATCCAGACTTTTTTGTCTTTCTTATCGACAATTGTTAAGTCTGGGGTGTTATGTTGCAGGTGCTTGTCTGTTTGAATTCTGAAGTCCCAGAGCAGTTTAATTTTATCATTTTCTATGACTTTCTCTATTTTATGATCCCACCAGTTTTTGCTTACAGGCAAATGATATTTTTTGCAGATCTTCCAATGCACCATTGTTGCTACTTTGTCATGCCGCTGCTTGTAATCAGTTTGTGCAATCTTCTTGCAACAGCTTACCAAGTGGTCCACTGTTTCTTCAGCTTCTTTGCACAGGCGATTATTATTATTATTATTATTATTATTATTATTATTATTATTATTATTATCCCAATCACCTGGGCTTTATTCTATAAATTACCCATAGGCAAACAATAGCTAAGGGTGACATGCCAATCTGATCTGAAATTTTTTGACTACACTTTCTACGAAATGAGCCTTCTTCAAGGAAGCGACAGCACTGAGCAAATCTGCACAAAACTACTTTTTGCACTTCAAACTAATCTAGAAGGTCTTTCAGGAGATTATTTCACGGGTTTACAAAAACAGGGGCCTCCCAGGACAGAAGTACACATTCATTACATAAAATAATCAAGTATTTACTGGGCTCACATTTCCAAATTACCTGGCTTTAAGTCAAACTGAACCATACCTGAAAGTTTAATAATTATGCCTGGATTGCCCCTTCAATCAGTTTTAAACATAGATCATTGCCCAAATTAGCAAGGCGAGGACTTCTATAATTGGAGAATGTGAAACTAATGAATAATTAATCCGTCTACTAATTATATTAGCAAGATGTTCAGCATCCAAATTCTGCATGCTTTGTTATTTGCTTCCCCATTTGGGCGACAACCCTAGGTTTACCTATTAGGAAGCGAGCTACATTAAGCACAATAGGATTTGGTTCTGAGTAATTGAGACTCACTATGCCAGGGGTCTTCAAACTTGGCCCTTTGATGACCTGTGGACTTCAACTCCCAAAATTCCTCAGCCAGGCACACTGGCTGAGGAATTCTGGGAGTTGAAGTCCACAAATCAAGACCCCTGCACTATACTATAGTGCAGTGTTTCTCAACCTTGACAATTTTAAGGCATGTGGACTTCAACTCCCAGAATTCCACAGCCAGCATTGCTGGCTGTGGAATTCTGGGAGTTGAAGTCCACATGCCTTAAAATTGTCAAGGTTGAGGAACACTGCTATAGTGATTAAGGTATTGGGCAAGGATTAGGAAAACAAAGGGTTCAAGTCTACGCTTTGTCAGGGAAATCCACTGGGTGGTTTTGACCCAGTTGTACTCCAGCTTGCCAGGCCTCACATGGTTGCTGTTACGCAGATAAAATTAAAGAAGGTTCCCATATAGGAGGTCTTGCGTGTGAGGAGCCATGGAGATGACCCCGGAGAAGCCATTCAGAAGCCATTCAGAGAACAACAGAGGCAGAAGCATGCATTGATCCTAGAGAAGCATGGAAATATTATAAAAATACTCAGACTCCCTGGAGTAGGAATAAAAAGGAACAGTAGACATATTATCCTGTTACTATAGCCAATCTCAAAGTATAGTTCCAGTCCTCCTGTGGCTTCTTTCCTGATTGGGTTTACCTCACAGGGTTGACAAAGTTAGGTTGACATGTCTATGGAGATTCTCAATCATCCAGGTCTTGGTTGTCCCAAAGATGCTTTTTCAAGAGACAACTGGACTTTCTTTGTTTTCTCCAGAAGACATTTCACTTCCCAACGAAGAAGCTTCTTCAGTTCTGGAAGAGTTCTGGAAGAACTGAAGAAACTTCTTGGATGGGAAGCGAAGTGTCTTCAAGGAAACACAAAGAAAGTCCAGTTGCCTCTTGAAACAGAAACTTTGGGACTTAAGTTGACATCTTTGGCCCAATTCACACACCAAGTGCTGAGCATAAAAAGGAGTTTTCTTCCTTCTCTGTAAATGTGTAGGCCATTCCTCTTGGAAAAATTAAAACATTACTCTCATAGTGGAAAACGTAGCTTATAAAGTAGATACTTGAAAGGGAGGAACCATCCTAAATAAAGTCCATTTTGTCAGCTACTTGGCGCTGACATTGAGACTGTATTTCATTTCAATATCTAAATATGTGCCTTAGCAGCTTTGACCTCGTGTTATTCCTTCCCACTTCCTTTCTTAGGACTCTGCATTTCAATCATGTTGCCAATTAGCTAATTAGTATAAACGATGACTTGTGGATTTCACTGTGGTGTGTCAAGAAAGCAAGAGGGAATGGGCACTATGAAAACTGAGTGTGCTTTTAATCATGCATGTCTCGCAACCAAAATAAAATAATTCTCTCCAATGTTAAATTAGATTTTAGTTATTTTAATATATTATACTGCTGACTGGCTATTCATGTGGTTTAAGTACTCCTAATGGAAACCCGTGGAAATGGATTAGTCAGCATTCATGCTAAATTCCTTCTGTTTTTACTATGTCATCAATGTCCTTAAACATTTCAGTACTGCTAACTGCCATTAAAAGCACCTGGTTGCATTGAAATTTAGACATAACCTGAAGTGCTGTGCTGAAATTAGAACTAAGTATCAGTGTTTCTAACTTTAAGAATATTTGAGGTCTGGATTCAATTCTTTTCTAAAAGAGGAACCAGTTAGTTTAGCAGTCATTATTTTGATAGTTAATAATAATGATGATGATGATGATGTTGGAAGGGACCTTGGAGGTCATCTAGTCCAACCCCCTGCTTAGGCCTTACCAAGGCATTGTAAAGTGGTAGTAACACTTCACGTGATCTTGATTCTATCCCTCTGTTAATGCAGCCTAGCACTGTGTTGGCCTTTTTCGCAGCTGCAGCACACGGCTGGCTCATGTTTAGGTGATTGTCCACTAGGACTCCGAGGTCCCTCTTGCAGTTACTGTGAGATAGCAGGCATCTCTGACAAATTATAGCCAACTGAGGTTATAAAAATTATTTTACTTGGAACAAAACCTGACATACACCAAGCTGTTATCTAATTCTGTAGACACATCTACAAGATCATATGAAGTGTAAATATTGCTTTATATTGCACTAGTAAGACCACACTTGGAATACTGCATCCAGTTTTGGTCACCGTGATACAAAAAAGATGTTGAGACTCTGGAAAGAGGGTAGAGAAGAACGACAAAGATGATTAGGGGACTGGAAGCTAAAACATACGATGAATAATGGCAGGGACTGGGTATGTTTAGTCTAACAAAGAGAAGGACAGTCATTAGGGTAGTGGTTCTCAACCTTTTTAATGCCGCGAC